ACCTCTAAATCAAAATGCAACATTGTGTAGCATTTGTCATATTAAATAGGTCAACTCAAACCTTAAAGTCTACTGAGAATAAATCTTCGGGTCTTCTTCCCACCTCCCCACGCCACCCTTACATGTTCATAATTTTGAATCTTTCCTTCTCTTTTTCTCACTAACTCTCTCCCTCAATACAATATCTGTATATCTTGATTTTAACCTGTAGTAATTTTTTACGTTTATATTTAGTTTGCAGGTCTGAAAGATTGAAGTTTATTTTTATAGCTTTCATGAAATAAAGATTATTACCTATGGTATTTTAAGTTTTTGATATTCATTAATTAAATAATTTTGCTATGTCTCGAACAGAGAGTTCTTCTTGGATCTTTATTCTCTTGGAAATTCCATATGGATTACTATTTTAATTTTTTATATATATATATATATATATATATATATATATATATATATATATATATATATATATATAAGCGGCTTGGATTGAGGAATCGGAGAGCCGAATTCGAATTCAGTCGAATCCATTACATTCACTTACGTGCTAATACCCTTGGGAAATGTGTGAATCTTCTTCTTCTCCCTCCAGCTATGGGTAAATAGCAGGACAGACTGGGTTCTATAGCATTGAATGGCAACTGGTCTAGGAGAAGGACAACTCTGAATTCAAAACTTGCGGAGGGTCGTTTGGGGACCTTGTGGCACGTAGTGCACTAGGTCTCTGTATTCGACCCTTCAAAAAGTGTGGATGGTCCTGCACGAAACCTTCACCACTATAATCAAATCTCATGTGCTGTTGTCGAGCTGTCGGTTTTCTGGGAACTGATCTGCTTGAATTCGACGGGAGAGTCGAGTATGAATTTTCTTATGTATGGGGTATACGGTGGGCTATGACAACATTTCTTTTATGTCGCTATTCCTTTGAAAAAGAACAACGTCACAATATAATTGAAAATATTGATTTTCTTTGTTGGTTGTATTTGGACAGCAAATATTCGTTAAAACATGGTTCGTTAAATCGAATAAACATGAACATTGAATTTTGTTGTATATCACAATTGAAATTATGAGGGAACTGTTCACAGTTCATGTCAGTTGTTATTTTAACCTTTCGACTTCAATCATTCTCAAAAATCGAAGTTCATTTTGTTTTGTTATGTTACAACTATGTATATAACGACTTCGTCTTTCAATTTTAAATATGATGAAAATTAGTTATTTTATTTTTTTAATGTATGATCCTATTCTATATATATGTTTGTGATCTCAAGTGAACGTGGCATAAAATTTGGATTCTAAGAATTTACATTTTGATTTGGATTATGTTTTCCTAAATTATAAGCGATTTTTTAAAAATTATCGACTGTTTTAATGTAATGGGAATAGCTTGTAAAATTTGTAACCTTTTGCAGTTTGTTTTTCTTCCGTGACCCCACAAACTCCCCGCCCCTCCCCCCCAAAACAAAAAAGCAAAACCGAAAACGCATTTTAAATAAATTGTCTTCTTTGACGTCAGATTTTAATTTCAAAGATAGCTGAATAATCCTCTAAAGCTAATCCGTATTAAAAAGAAAGAAAAAAAATCCGTATATAAATAAAGTTTTTTTAGGCATTTTTAAACATGAGTACTTTGCCCGTAACCCAAGGAACCACTATTAGAGGCGAGAAATATAAACAACAAATTTAAAAATCTCTTAAAAATCCAATATTTTTCTTGGAGATGTGTTTAAAGGTAAGGATTAATTAACTGATTTTGGAAAAGTAATGTCCACTTTTTGCTTAAAACAACGAAAATAATGTGTATTTTTACAGCCTGTGATATCATAGGTCAACAACAGTAATTTTCTACTTTCATCCCTAACTTCAAAAGCCTGCAAAAAATAAAAATTAAAATTAAAGAAATACGGAACACCAGCAGTACAATAATTTAAAAAATAAAATGGTATATACGTTTCGAATTAATTATATTTAACCTTATATAACCAATAGCGTAAGATTATTTTTATTATATATAAGATATGTGTGTGTGTGTGTGTATATATATATATATATATATATATATATATATATATATATATATATATATATATATATATTTTTATTTTTATATTTATATATTATATATGCGCGGTACTTATTGGAAAGCGCTCAATATCAGTGATAGAGCTAACATTTATAGTTGGATTGATGTGAGTTTTCACACTATTGTCACAAACTCACATCAATACAACTATATATTTTTTTAATTACAACTATACATTTTTTCGTTATATATGTTTTTATGAAACTTAGAATAATATATTTTATTTTTTACACTACATTAGAAGAAGAAGAAGAAGAAGAAGAAAAAAAAAAGAAATGAATGAATTTCAAAATTCCGCTGAAAAATTACAAGTAAATATTAAGTGTAGATTTGTTTCCCTGTTTAATCTGAAACAACATGTTTTATTAAATTATGCTCGTACCAAACCTAAATAATTGAATTTGAGGAGATGATTCGTCAACCTAAACTTTGATAAATAGTTTGAGTATCGGAACTCCATCAAGTAATAGCAATTAATTATGAACAAAATTTATAATAAACACAACATTTTATATAACAATTTAAGAGACATTAAATAAAAAAGGAAAAACTCCTTTTGTGTGTAATATAGAAACTTTGTATTTGTTTAATGTAGAATTTATAAGTTAGTTACTTCGTAAATGGAAAGATTTTTTTTTATTGAGCAGCATGTGTTAGATTCATTGAGCAGCCCTGTGTGACTGCTGCCCGGCTGGTTTTGTTATATTAAGCGTATAGTGCCAGAACAAAGAAGAAACGACGGAGGTTTAAAAAATAAATAATTGTATTAACAAAAATACAACAAATGGTGAGTTAGTGTAAATGTCTCACGTTGAAAGAAAGTCAGTTATGTGCCATGCGTAATACACGCTTAGGCGATCAAGTATCTTTCGATCATGTATCTTTTGATACATGACTGACGAGGCAGATTTTTTCCGCAATAGGCTGCCATTTCTTTCTGCAGTAGACCAGTTGCCATCCAAGGCTATAGAACCCGGTCTGTCCTGCTATTTAACTATAAGCTTTGGCGGGGAGTAGAAGAGGATTCATATATTTCCCAAAGGTATTAGCACGTATGTGAATGTAATGGATTCGACTGGAATTTGAACTCGGATCTCCGATTCCTTAATCCAAGCCGCTATCCATTACTCCACCAAAGAGATAAGTAGCATCGTAAAAGTCGTCCGCAGACTTGCTGCGGTGACGGCCTTTGGTGAGTTAGCTTTAGAAATGGGAGGTCGCGTTCCAACGAGTGTATCCTGGCTGTTGTGCCGTCCGACAGCCGAAGAGGTCCCTTTGATGTCTTTTTTCTTAGGCTCAGATCGACTCTAATTTTTATTTTGTTTAAGTCGGAGTGGGTACTATTGAGTGGAAATTCTGGATTGTATTTTTATTTAAGTGTGTTAGTAAAACGGAAACTATGTGTGGAGCCGATGCGCAGTTGACGGAATTTTTAGTTCAGTCTTGTGTTTCGGAGCGTTTACGTCCGGCCAGTGGTGGAAATTTGTGTAACATGAATCAGAAGAAGATCTGGTTTTAGGAAGATTATAATAGTTTGAAACTACTACTAAGACTTCTGGTAAGACTGCTATTCAGACATCGTGGTCTGTTTTATATCTGACTAAATGTCTCGACAGGCTAGATCTTTTTGTGTGTGGGCGATTACAGTTGAGTTCAGTTTGTGTGTAGGCAGTTTGCGTGGGTGTTTGCTTCTTCCTATGGGCTGCTGCTGCCTGTGAGTTGTGATGTTTACAGAAAACGGTAGGATTATGTGTATGCTAATGAATTATTTTTTTATTTTGTTAAATTAGTGATAATGTCCCTACAAATTAATTTTGAGAAGGTTTGGGACGAATTTTTGGTATGTTCCAGTTCAAACTTGAAATTACATAAACTTTTTTTACTGAAATAAGATATCTTTAGGGAGCTTCCTTTAACCCTAGAACACTAACCATCAATTAAAGTTACACCACTACTAACCATGGGTAGATCATACCCGATTTTGAAAATATCAAAAAAAAAAAAAAAAAAAAAAAATTATTAAGTCTTTATTTGAAATATTTTACATGCAGGCACTTCAAACTTTGTACTTTGAGTTAACATTATAGGAACTGAAAAACATTATTTAGGTAAGAAAATCAGGTACTGAAAATTGTAATTAAAAACAGGAATATTTGCGCTGGGTACTATATACCCATGGTTAGTGTTCTAGGGTTAAGAAGTATATAAAAAATAAATAAATCCATGTCCGCATAAAATTAAAAGGTACGCACGTGATGTCAAAAAGGTGGATGAAACAGACCCACCCAAATATTTCCATAAGGCTTTCTAATAAAATAACCTATTCCAGTTATACAAATCTTACATTAATGAATATTATTAACTTACTTAAGCATTGCAAATTTCGTTTGAATCGGATGATAATTCCCTGATTTTTGTCAATTAAAGCGTGGAGCGTTTATTTCAGAGTAAAACGCATTAGTTATTTTGATTATTAAATTTTGATTATAGCTACAAGCTTAGTCTGGTACGAGGACACAAATATGGAGTACTCAATGACTGTCGAAGTCATTGCATTGGTCATGGTCTGAAAGGGCTCACAAACCATTGCTCCATGACGAGATATTTGAGAACTTTGGTAAAATGATACCTTTGACTCTGTCCACCAATGAATGACTAAATAAATAAATGTAAAATAAATAATTTGAATAACGTAAACATAAATAAAAAACAAAACAAAATGAATAAATTATTGTATAAGCGAATAAATAAAAAGAAGTCAATTAATCAATAAAATAAGTTATATAAAAGTCGGTGTGTGTAAATGCGACTTATCTCCCTTGGCTAGTCAGGAATTACGTCCCAAGAAAACATTTGACGAGCGTTATTTTGTTTAAATGGTCTCCTCCACTTTCTCATCGTAACATCAAACAAAAACATGTATAGCCAAAACGTATCTATTTTATTTACATTTTTGTACATAATTGTTCACTTCGTATCATCCGTGCCACCAGACACTCTTCGGCAAGTCAATGTGGTAAGTTTTTTTCTTTAAAGAATTAAGTCTTTTTTAAAAAAGATTTGTAAGTGAAAATCCACTCCTTTGAAAATTGAAACATATTTTTTTTTTTTTTAAATCTAAAACTAATTTTTAGATTTCTTAAGTTCTTTTCTTTCTTTATTTTTTTTTTTGTTAACAATTATTTTTCATTGTTTTTCTCCTTTTTTTTAAAAAATTATTATTAAATTTAATTGTTTGCTTATCGTAGACTTGGATTTCTTTTTCTCTTTGTAAACCGGTTTTTTATGATCTAAAAATGTCAGTCCTTTTTTTTTTTTTTTTTTTTTTTTCGTCCACTTATTTCTTTTTTTTTTTCTTTTTTTAAAAAAAAAAAAGTTAATCTATTTCTTAAATTTTCTGTTTGTGTATAGAAGTTATTGATTCATTTTTTTTTTTTTTTCAAGATAATAATTTGAATTTTAAAACTTTTTTGCAACAAAAGCCAATATAATCCTTTTTTTTTTTTTTTTTTTTCTTCCCAACGCTTGTAACTAATAAACAAACCAAAAACGTTTTGTTTTTTTTCTTTTTTTTTTTTTCTTTTAAATTGAAACATTTTCCCCTGACGAATTAATAATCACACGTGTCTTTTTTATGGATTTTTGACAGCATGAACTTTTTTATTTTTTTATTTTAAAGCGGTAACCTTTCTTTTTGTCTTTGCGCCAACCGGTCGGGTGATAGTGCTCTGCCTGTACAGCTCGACCCTTTCTTGGCTGTGGGGGTCACCCTATGTTAACGTTATTTCCGGATTACATTTTTATCGGTTCATAATGGTCTTAAAAATCCTATTTTTATCCTTTTATAATTCTATGGTTAAGTAAAACAAACTACGGTGTTCCGAAAAGTCTTCTCCCCCCCCCCAAAAAAAATGTTATGAGAACAGAAGAACAAAGTAAATACAAAGCACATGTACTGGATTCAATTTATTTACTTTCATTGACACTATCGAGAAGGTCTGGATGAACATCATTTTCGTATCTGCCACCTGAAATCGAAAATTGTTATGTAGGGGCTGACAAGACTTTCGGACCACTTTTTTTTATTTTTTTTTTTACTTTAACTCGCATGACTTAATTATCGATTTGGTATCTAAGTATACTACATTTATGATTTATATATTTCTAAATACCAAAGTATCATTCTATAACAAAGCTCTCTCCTCTCTTTTCGCTTAACTTTCCGACTACCCTACACAGGTTAATAAGTATTTTTGATTCTTCCTTTCGTCTTTCTTTGTCAGCAAAAGCAAGTGGTTCCCTTGATAACATTTCCTGAAAGAAACAATTTATGTTTGAAATAATTCTGTTCAGTCCTAAACAATAATAGGAAAAGGAGTTTCTATATGAAAAACTCCTTTTTTGTCTTTTTTTTATTATTATTTTTTTAATTCTTTTGGCCAGACAAGTGTAGATGTCTTGCGTTTTTGTTTCTTTCCCAAGTATAGGAAAATAATTCCACTTGATTTCTTGAATATATTTTTGTCGCTCAGCGCAATACTTGATCACTCTTTTTTCTTTTTTTTTTTTCTATTAAAAGAAAAATACTACCATGGCGTAAAGTTTAGGGAAAGTCCTGCCTGGGGAAATGTTTCTGATCAGTAATGGTAGTAATTTTAAATTTTATAAAGAATTTTTTTTAATCTATTTTCTCACTTTTAAAAACAGTAAGTCCAATTAAATAACTGGTTTGTAACAATTGGTCTCTTTCTCGCCTTTTCTGGGGTGAAAAAGATAAAAAATGATATCCGTTAGGGAGAATTTGGCCCAAATAAAGCTATATAAATGTTGGGAGATACTTGTCAAATGATCATTGAATTTTAATTTTACTGTTCCTTACTTCCTCGCCGTAAAATATATTTAACACTGGTTTTGATGATTCTCTAGCTCTCTCTCATATATATATATATATATATATATATATATAGGTAGTTTGTTTTTTTTTTTTGTTTTTTTTTCATGTTTCATTAATAATATAGAACAGACAAGTGTTTCATTTTATGTAAATTCTTTTCATAACACTTAATGAAACATGTATGAAAACATGAGAAATAGGTACTTGTCTTAAAGAATGGTCCTGTTTCTAGACATCTCCAATGATTAGCTAAAAATGGAAGAGGAAAAAAAAAAAGACCCCCCACTTCCCCAAAATAAATAAAACAAAATTTAATCAAGAAAAAACGACCCGAGGATTTTTTTGTTTTTTTTTGTTTTTTCATTTTTATTGGGATGTGTGTGTGAAATACACATCGATTTGAAAAAAACAAACAATTGTCGAATTTTGAAACTTTCAGAACTTATTCACAAATGAAATTATTTTTTTTTATAGTGTGGTGTTTTTTTGTTTTTGTTTTAGTTGCCACTTTTTGAATTTTCCAACTTTTTCACAAATACAAATGTGTTTAAAGAAATATACTCTCGGATTCATTTTTTAGCAGTCTGAAAAAACAAATACCACATCTTTCTATGAAAGATCACGTAAAAAAAGGTGGCGACATATGATAACCCACAAATTAAAATACATTTTTAAACACTTGTTGCTTCCACCAACAGGATTTATTTATGTAGTTTCGAGAAATTAAATTTTATGCCACATAATGTTAAAATGCAGAACTCTTTCAAAAAAATTTTTTTTTATTTTTTACAAAGACCATCCCCTAAATTACCGCAAATCTCTGAATCGCAAAAAATAAAACTGCGACATTTAAATTAAAGCTTTTGATTGTTTTGTCGTGAAGATTTTTTGTATATAATGAATTTTTATTATAATTCTTAATCTTATTCGTTTAAATTTCTGTATTTCTTTTGGTTAGTTAGCTGAGTTTCTTATTCAAAAACTCCATATCAGAAAATAAGTGAAATGTAAAGCCAAATGAACTAAAAATTCAGTAAAACATTTCATTAAGAATATCTTCCTAAATTTTTATGATTCGGTATTAAAAAAGCTGCTCATGTTATATATATACTTGAAATAATTTTTTACAGTTCCCTATAGAAAAAAAAGTTTAACACAATTCCGCCTGTCAGTTAAGATGTTAAGTTACACAAATAAACACTTTTTTTTTTTTTTTTTTTAAATGCATTTCTAAGTAATTTGTTTCAAATCGGCTAATATTATTCAAATAGTTTCAGAAAAGTATTTTGTTTGAAAGGATTTTTAATACAATGAATTATTACGTTATGCTAAAATCAGCAGTATTTTTTTAACTAGTCAATTTAGTTTTGAAATGCGTCAAGCAATTTTGCTTATTGGAAATATTAAATTTAAATATGTTTGATTGAAAATAAAATAAAGGCTTGAGGAAAAAATTCATTTTTAACAATTTTTGTTTGGTGGCATCTGTTTGTCTTGAAATGTCAATAAATAGTGCTTGTGTTAATGTCATTGTTCCCAATTTTTTCAAGCAGGCCTCTTTATTTTTTTTTCCTCACTCTCCCTAATTTCTCTTCATATAGAGAGACTTGATAAATGAGTGGATTTAGTGAATTGAATTTGATTATTCAATAGACTTTCGGCTCATCTGAGCAGGATCCTCTGTTTCTTAACTATCCCACGTTGGTGCATTATCACTATCACGAGGTAAGGAATTTAAGTTGTCTATCATACCCCCCCCACACACTACCAACACAGGCAAAGACTAGTAGAGGTATGTGTTAAAAATCTTGCTCTCTTTCAAACACACACCTAATATTGAGGGAGGAAGCCAAATTTTTTTTTTTCTTGCATATTTTTCAGCGTAATTTTGTCAATGAATATTCTGCGTTGAATATGCGAGTCCAAATAAAAATAATTTAATATATAAAAAGAATATAAGCAAAAATAAAAAGAAACGAATTAAAATAAGGCATTTGGGCTTTCCTTTAAAACCCTTATATATATATATATATATATATATATATAGTACCCACAAAAAACCAGATTCTAAATCTCAATGCAGCATATCCCCACTAGGACTGAATTGACAATAACAACTGGCAATGTACAATGGATTACAAGTAAATGCTTATGTGGAAAGATATGAAAAAATCCATGAGGCCTCAGAATACACAAAGGCCAGATGAAATGCCTAGAGGAAGAGAAACTGATGAAACGTACAGGTCAAATCCCTGGTAAAACGTAGGAGCGAGGTCAGCAGGTACCCCACAGAGCCCCACATCTCCAAGCAGCTGTTACTCATTCACAAGGTATGGCACCCCCAGAAGAGGATTAAATGGCCCCCAGCTAACAACAAAGGGGAATGGCAGGAATTCGATAATGACATCAGAGATTTTGCAAGTAGCTGCAAGAGATTTGGACCAATGTTTAAAATTTGACAACGATAATTAATTGTAAACATGGCAACAGAAAGATTTGGCTTTATTGAAACATGGCACAAGGAAAAAACTTACAATTTGAACTGAAGAGATCACAAGATAAGATAACTGAGGGAGATCAGAACACTCGGGGAAACGATTTAAATCTGCTAGTACTGAAGAAAGAGTTGCTCTAATGGAGTTATGTAACATCCTGAGAAATAAATTGAAAAATTTATGCAGAGCAGAGTGGTGACAGGAGGAGGAAGGAAATAAGCAAGTTTCATATCACATCTGTTTGGTTTCACAAAGTCTCTTCTTTGAGAAGTGGCCTTTTAGAGACATCAAAGGAGGAGATTAACATTTCATTAACACCTTCTGTGATCCAGCAAGGGATATGGATCCCTAAGGAAGAATACTCAAGAGATTGAACAATTCGTATCATTTCTCTAATTAACATTGAGTGCAAGTTCTTCTTCAGGAATCTTGGCGTTTCTCTGTTAATCTGCAGTATAACACCCGCACACAGTTTGCATTAAAAAATTTCCAGAATATTTGCGTTGAGGCTTAATTGTACGTGTTCTATTCGAATCTGGCTTGATAGATTTGATAAAATCTATTGTTTTGGAGTTATTGACAGAGAAAGTTTTGGATTCATTCGCGTCACAGGCAGCCATTACTGGT